TTAACTTTTTTTTTTTTTGGAGCTCTTGACCCTTCCCAATCAGGAGGTCTCAGAGAGGCTCTGCTGGGGTAGGTTTTGAGGAGAAAAATGTAAAAAAAATTAATTTTTTGGGGGGAAAATGAATCCCAAATTAATTCAAGGTGTGAGGCAGGTGTTTTCCTGTGGCAGAAAAGGGAATTTTTTGGTGTTTACCATGGAAAAACCAAAATCTGCCCTTCCTGGGGTCAGGAAAAATGTCCAGAACATCCAGGGGTGGATGTGTGAAGCCTCACAGGCTGGGGGGGAAAAAATCAGGATAATTTAAATAATTGTATAAAAATTATAAATAATATATAGCTAAGAAATAAATACAGTTCTATAAAAATAATTATAAATAATTTATATTAGAAATATATATAATTGTATAAAGTAATTATTTATAATTTCTATTAGAAATGTATAATTGTATAAAGTAATTGTAAATAATATATAAGATATAAATATCATTATGTGAAATAATTATAAATAATAAGTATATATTAGAAATATATGCAATTAGAAAATAATTATAAATACTGGAGATATATATATTAGAAATATATAATTGTATAAAGTAATTATAATTATATCATTATAATAATAGATAAGAATTATGTGAAATAATTATAAATAATAAGTATATATTAGAAATGTACACAATTATATAAAATCATTATAAATAATATATATTAGAAATAAATATAATTATATACAATAATTATAAATATAGAAGAAATAAATATAATTATGTAAAAGAATTTTAAATAATAAGAAATAAATACAATTATAGAAAATAATTCTAAATAATTTCTATGAAAAATCAATATAATGATAGAAAATAATTACAAATATTAGATATACATGTGTTATAAATATTTATAATGATATAAAATGAAAGGGCTGGGGGGAAGTTGGAGGAAGGGGCTGCTCCCCTGCTGGAGGATGAGATGTGTGGGGCTGGGGATGGTGCAGAGAACTGGAGGGATTTGGGGTCTGAGGGCAGGGAGGATTTTAATCCTGGCAGGGTTGGGCTGTTCAGGGACCCCTCCCCAATCCCGGGGATTTTCCACATCCCAAAGGAGCTCTGGGCCTGCCCCAGTCGTGTCCATCCTCTTCCTCATCCTGGAGTGTGCTGCTCTGGGGGAGGGCAGAGCCAAAAAAACCCAAAAATCCAGAGCCAAAAAAACCCCAAAACCCAGAGCCAAAAAATCCCAAAAAAACCCACCCAGAGCCAAAAAACAAAACAAACCCCAGAGCCAAAAAACCCCAAAAAACCCAGAGCCAAAAAAATCCAAAACCCCAAAAAACCACCCAGAGCCAAAAAAAACGAAAATCCATCCAGGGCAAAAAGAGCCAAAAAAAGCCAAAAAACGACCCAGATAAAAAAAAAAAAACACAAAAACCCAGAGTCAAAAAACAAACAAAAAAAAAAATCCAGAGCCAAAAAACCACCCAGAGCCAAAAAACCCAAAAATCCACCCAGAGCCAAAAAAACCCAAAAACCCAGAGCCAAAAAATCCCAAAAAAACCACCCAGAGCCAAAAAATCACCCAGAGCCAAAAAAAAACAAACAAAAAAACCACCCAGAGCCAAAAAACAACAACAACAAAAAAATTCCAGAGCCAAAAAACCACCCATAGCCAAAAAACCAGAAACCCCAGAGCCAAAAACCACCCAGAGTCAAAAAAACCCAAAAATCCCCCCAGAGCCAAAACAACCAAAAACCCATTCAGAGCCACAAAACCAAAAAACTCAAGAGCCAAAAAATCCTCCCAGAGCCAAAAAATCACCCAGAGCCAAAAAAAAACCCCAAAAAACCCACCCAGAGCCAAAAAAATCCTCCCAGAGCCAAAAAACCACCCAGAGCCAAAAAAAAACAAAAAAAAACCACCCAGAGCCAAAAAACAACAACAACAAAAAAATTCCAGAGCCAAAAAACCACCCAGAGTCAAAAAAACCCAAAAATCCCCCCAGAGCCAAAAAAACCAAAAATCACACAGAGCCAAAACAACCAAAAACCCATTCAGAGCCAAAAAACCAAAAAACTCAAGAGCCAAAAAATCCTCACAGAGCCAAAAAAACCCAAAAAAACCCCACCCAGAGCCAAAAAACCCCAAAAACCCAGAGCCAAAAAATCACCCAGAGCCAAAAAACAAACAAAAAAAAACCCCAGAGCCAAAAAAACCCAAAAACCCAGAGCCAAAAAATCCTCTCAGAGCCACAAAAACCCAGAGCCAAAAAAAACCAAACAAAAAAACCCCAAAAACCCAGAGCCAAAAAATCCCCCAAAAAACCACCCAGAGCCAAAAACAAAAAAAAAACCCAGAGCCAAAAAAACCCAAAAACCAAGAGGCAAAGCCCAGCAGGCCTGGCTGGGTGTGACTCTAAAAATCCT